CGGCTCGGGGGAGCTGATAATGATTTATCCAGACCTGCGGCGCTTAGGATATAAGGCTCAGTCTTTAATCTCGGGGATGACTGACAGCTCAGATATTACTCTGTAGTTTTTAATAACAGTCAGCGCCACGCCACGAGAGACGGGGCGATGAACATGGCACTATCTGATGTTTGGATCATCTCCCACCCCCTGACGCTGACACACACACACACACACACACACACACACAGAAAAAACATCCCAGTGTATGAGCACGAGAGCTTGTATTGTATTTGTTTGTGTGTCTCTCTGTATAAACAGAAACATACATATTTCAGGTTCAAAAAGGTGACTATATATGTCAAGATAAATATTCACTGAGATAAATACGTTTTTTATTCGGTCATACACTTTATATCCATCAACTTCATTTAAATTTACATTTCATGATCTTCCGTCGGTGTGAAAATCAATAATGAAGGAGCTTTTATTGCAAAATCTGCTCTGCTATATGACACAGATCCCAGCGTTTCTCTTCCCTCCCGATTTGATATATTAACCTCCAGCTCCGTATCCCCGCCCCGTCATTTCTCCAGCTCCTGCCTCCCTCTTGTCATTCAACCCTTCATTCTGTCTCTCCCTTTTTTCTCTGGCCACAGTATGCAAGTGCTCATTCACTTTCTGTTTCTCTCTCTCTGGCTCTCTGATATATGCTCCTCGCACACCCCCTCACTTTAGCTCAGCCTCGTCGTCATTTGTCAGCCCCTCCTCGGCTTTTTCGGGTTTTGCCGCTCCGCCACAGTTTGCCTTTCCATAACTCATTTGCTTCCACTTAAACGCCATTCAGTCGGATTGCCTCATTCACAACCTTTTTTTGTTTTTTCCTGCCTCCCTCTGTTGCCCACACCCCATATCTCTCTTTCTGCTCAGCATTTCACCTTTTCCACCTCTTCCCTGAGGTCCTTTTCCACCTATTCTTCTGTTATTATTCCTCCTCCCCCCCTCCTGCTCCCTAATCCTCTTATATTTTCTTCCTCTCCATCACAGACTGGGCAGGACTCCGGTGGTGTGGTGTAGCAAACATTTATTAAAGAGCAGTTAAACAGGCCTTTAAATCTACTGCAATTACAACAGGAAAGGAAAATGGATTCACCTGTCTCCTACTAGGATAAATGTAGTTTTCTCTTTGCAGGTGCGTCTCCCTCGGCACCTTCTGAAAACTATTCATATATCCTTTTCCTTCCACTCATGTCATCTTATTCTGGATTGAGTCACTGTATGATGATCTTAATTTGAATTTTCTGGTGACTACTTTTAAATCTAACTGCTGTAAAGTTGTTGCTGCCAAGAGAGAAACATTTTTGGAAGAATATTTACTTTACATGCCAGTATGAGCTGGTTAATGACTAAAGCTGTGTCCAAATCACGCAGTAGCTTTATGCAGGGGAATTTTAATAAGCAACACAATTAAGCAAACTAAATAGCAAAATGGTTTTGGCCCAGATGATGGCACTTGGGCGTTTCACACTGTTTGAAAGATGTGGGCCACAAGTAAACCATAGCAATACGGCAACCAAAGGTGCCAAAGAGTTAATTCTATATCCATGAGTAATAGTGGGAAATATTTATTGTTGCACCGGCACTCACATACATACACATACAAGGCAAACATCCTTCTCCTGCGGGTCACAACTTGTGCGGGTGTTGTGCAACAGAAATGCAGGTGTGTTAAATAATGCAGAAGTTGATTCACCATCTGATTAATTTCAGTAGAAGCTCAGTGGGGAGTGAGTTAGTGTGTGCAGTACAGTTAGTATGTTTGTGCTCTAGTGTGAGGTGATACCACCTTGGATTAGCAGGTAAGACACACACACACACACACACACACACACACACACACACACACACAAACACACACACACACACAGGGGACGGTCAATGAGGCAAAGCTGCAGAGTGATTTTGAAGCTCAGGAGTGGATAAGTAATGAAGGTTAAAACAACACACAGAGGAACATTATTGATTGTTTTCAGGGGAAGAATCGAATCGAGAGACGGTCGAGCCTCATTTGTGCCAAATGACGTCTCTGCTGTGTTTATCCCTCTGCTAATTTCAGTGCCGCTTGTCATAACATCAATATTCTCATCAACTCCGCAACTATTAGGTTGTAATTCGTTCTTTCTACCTGAAATATATTGATTTTTCCTTGTTGTTTCTTGTTTGCAACTTCCCTTCCAACCCTCTCCTATAGGAACCTTTACCTCTCCACTGTACCTGGCAGGAATCTCTCCCCTGCAGCGCCTCTTTCCTTCTGTCTAGACAAACACACACTTGCTGATTTGATTGCTGTGTTTATCAGCCCGACACTTTTACCTCGCTCTCCTGAAGGCCGTAGACCCTCGGCCGCCCCGAAAACACTGTTTGTGAGAGATGCTAATGCTGAGGCTCTCTGTAGCCATAGTGACAAACAGGCTCACCTGTTGCTATTGGTTCTTAGCAGGATGGAGAGAAGCAAACAAAAACAACAATGAGCGTCATGGAAGAACCGTCAGCGTGAACATATTTGTTCTCAATTTTCTCATGTTGGTACGGACAAATTAAACCGGAATTTAAGTTAAGATTACGAAAATGTATTTGCATGAGGCCCAATGGGTAAATTTAAAGTGTAATATAACTAAATTATGTAAAGATGCAGTGAAAATATAGGATCTTCTGTGTTAATCCAACCACACAACGTAGCATTAGTTTAATTATCATCCGAATGCTCCCTGTGTAGTTAATCTGTTCAAAAAGAAAAGACTAGTCCAACATCCTTTACAGTGCAAGTAAAATGTAATAACTCACAAATATTGATTGCCTGACATTTTGTCAAAGGTCGGTCCTCTGGAAATTGATTATGATCAGATTGTAACAATCACCTTAAAGACAATGCAGACAAACAGGTCGAGACATTTCGCATTCAAACTGATCTTTGAGCCACTGAAATAAAATCCTGAGGATTAGTCATTAGTCAGTCTTTCAGCCCGTGTAGGAAAATTATGACAATTTCACACTTTATGCAACGCTTCAGGATGAGTCACCTTGTTAAACCTCATTACCTGAAGACCATTAACCTCTGCATGTCACAGACAGAACACTGTGAAAGTGCAGTAAAATGCAGCGTTCACCTTCCAGATGATGAAACGACTCTACATTCAAAGACTGACGTTAAAATTGTTCCACTTTTTATTCTTCGGCTCCAAAGAATCAAACGTCATGTTAGTCGAGCTTGAGAAACTCTCAGACGTTTTCTAATGAAAGTCTGTTCGAGTCGGGGTTATTCTGTGTCGCTGGGCTGCGTTATGTAATTATTGCTGCCGTGTATGCAAACGTGGCTGGATGTGCTGCGGACAGCGCTCGCTAAGACTGTGTGAGCGTGTTTGTGTGTGTGTGTGTCTGTCTTTGTGGTGCTTATCAGTGGTGAAATTGTTTACATGTCCTCGTACACAATCCTAACACACACTGACAAGAAACAGAGGAAAAGGTTGTGGACACACACACACTCTTAGCTCTCAGATGTGTGTGTCTTTAAGCGATGTCATGTTTACGGACGTTTCACCTGCTGATAACTGATCAAACGTGACACTAAAGGACACCACCTGCAGTTGTGAACGTTAGAACAAATTACCCACAGATCACAGTGCACTTGTAATGAATGGTGGCCGTGCCGTTGGGTTTTAGAAATGTATGAATGTAGTTTTTACACTGCCATTCATAATGTGCTTCCATTCATTCCTGTACAGTATTTAAAATGTGTTAAACCCAAATTACCCATTTTATTTTGCTTATATTTTTACCTTTCGCCGGAGGTTATGATTTCACTGCCGTTTGTGTGTTTGTGACCAACAATTACGCAAAAACTAGCGAACCCATTTTATTGAAACTTGCTGGAGGAGTCTGGTGTGGGTCAAAGACGAAGTCATAAAGTTTTGGAGTGAATCCCAATAAATGGGCAGAGTTAGAATTTGTGCCTTTCTTTAACATGGTGAGATAGCATTGACCGAGGTGTGCACCCTTCTAATTTGTAAAAGCCCTCGGGTTAATAGAGTGTGAGCGCAGCGTTTTGGGTTAGCGCACTACAAAATCTGAAGGTGAATTCAATAAGTTGTGCCGTGAAACTGAAAAAACATGCTCTTGAATATAGATTCCCATAAAAAGCCCACAGGCTCCATATAAAGTTTGCAGCCTTCATTTCTCCGGGCCATGACGTTGCTCCTTTGCCACAGGGAGACTCACACTGCTCTGGTGAATTGCAGTAAATAATCAAAGTAGAAGAAGATCAAATAATAGACCTGTTCTCCTGCAACTTGTATCATGAGGGAGAACCTTTCAACATGCAAGGCAGTTGTTGGGACCTCAGTTGTAAGCTGTTTGAAGATGTGAATATAAGCATATGAAAACCTGTGTGTAGTCGAGCAGACACACACTCGTGCACATTCATCTATCATTACACTTGTATATAGAGAATCAAAAGCTTTCAGTGGCTTCTTTCACTCTGCTGCACACAGACAGTGAGTCGGCCTCTGAAAGCACCCCTCCAAAAAAAAAAAAAAAAAATCAGTCAATGGTGTAAGAACGTCTGCCCCAGAGAGATCATGCAAACACACACGTTCAGACACATGCACTCTCTTGCACCCAGACAGTGGGGGAGCAGAGGTGTAAAATCTAAGTCAGGAGTTTCTTTCATGACTCCTCGGAGAAACCAACAGTTTTTCCACAGAGAAGCAGAAGATGCGTTAGCGTATTGTTATCTTCCTTTCTGCAGCTTTGGTTGTTTTCCAGTGTTTCCCCTCTCTGTTCTGTTGTGTACTTAACATTTTGTTGAATATTATTGTTTGTTATTTGAGCAATGAGGGAATTTCTGATACCTTTTGTTTTCTCGTAAGTTCATTAGTGTGTATCGTTGTTTTGACTGGATCAGTTCACACAAAATTTATATGATTTCATGCTAATCACCCTGTTTTTGTGTGTCCTACTTGCAGACGACGGGCCGTACCAACGAGACCCTCCTCCTCCTCCTCCTCTCTGCTCTTCCTCCACATTAAATCCTCTGTTGGAGGACCGAAGGAAGAGCCACATCCCAGAGGAGTTTGCAGGCCTCCTTCATGGATCTTCTCCAGCCTGCGAGACCCCTGACACACCTTACCACCTCTACAGTCCCAAACCTCGAAAATATGCCTCCACAGACGTCCAGAGCAGTTTGCTGCAAACCCCAGAGTTCAGCCTCGTGATTGGAGGAGGATCCGCAAAAGCCAACGACCCGCAAAAACCCCAGGTGGTGTACCGGACTATCTTCCACACCAGGGTCAACCAGGATCAGACCCGACCCAAGAACTGCGAGCAGCTTGACCAGCCTCGTGGGTGGTCTACATTGGACCGCCCACCCTCCCACTACTCTGGTCAAAACCAGAAAGGTCCAGAGTTAAAGGGGATCCAGACTTCGGGTGAATCCAAGGACGGTTCATCTGGGGCTGGCTTTGAGGAGAGGGCTTTCACCCTGGGGAGGATGAGGTCCATGCCCCGGAGTGTGTTGGACCTGCAATTGTCAAAGTCTCTTTCCAAGTCTGATTCTAACCTGGTAGCTGTGTCTCCCGTACAGGTAAGATGTTACCTTAATATGTTATGTCCAAAATGACTCATACTGTGCAAAGTAATAACTTTTGAATGACATTTATATATGTAAACTTCAGCACAGCAGCATTTGTGCTGCATTAGGAAGTTTAAACCTAAACATCTTATTTCTCTGTCCTTCTCGTTCTTCTGAGGCATTTATATAAGAGTTCAGAGATAACATGAACGCCTCTTGAAATAAAAGTTGTTAAAAGTTTCTTTTTTTGAAAAAGTTTAGGTTTGCACCGAGATCAATGGAAGCAAACGCGTTTATTGTAAATATTCAGTTGTATGAATTATGCAGCCGTGGAGGTAGTTTGCATCTTGCTGTATCATGCAGTGGGATTTTAGAAAAGGCACAGAAACCAGTCCAACCAATTAGATAACTCAAGAATCTGGGCCACAGTGCTCCCTGCCGTGCAGCACATTTTATGAGAGGACTCCTTTAATTCATAGTAAATAAATCACAAGACAAATACATAGTCTGTTTGATGAAAATAGCTTCATTATAACTGAAACTTTTATAAGCCGTGAACGGACTTGCATTTTGTTCTCCTCACAGCAGTTTTTAGTGCTTAGTCCACATATTTAAGGTTAAAAAAGGTTGAAATCATTTGTAGTTTAATAAAAACTGGTTCATTTGTATCATGTCCAGGAGGAGCACAGTTGGGGGTCTGGTTCTCGGGGTCAAGGGCCTGGAAGTCCAAACCCAGGGGAGGGTGCCAGCCCTGGGGGGAGACTGGAGAGAACACCTTCCTTCACAGCTGAGTGGGAAGAGGTAAGAAGACGTTTTCCTTCTCCAAGGGTGTTTTGTTTCGAGGTCTGTTTGTGGATTACTCAAAAACTACTGGTTGGATTATCCCGAAACTTGGTGGAAGGAAGTGATGAGGGTTAGAAAAGAAGCCAATAAATTGGGCCTTGGCGAAGGCACAGCTTTGTATCAGATGTTTTGGATCAATCAAGATAGTTAAGGGGGAGAGAATGGATCAATTCTTTTCTGTACTGTGACACCGGTTTTTGTTGTTGTTTTTTTTACAGTAAAAGTGATTAAAACTTGCTTTTCAAAATGAACCATCTCTCCAGGGGACAGTTGAAATATCTGCTTCCACAGCTCTGAGCAACTTCAGTTGTTTCTCATTTAAAAAAAAAAAAACTACTTATAACTCTGCTGCAGAAGGAGCCCCAGTGCTAATTTAATATGCTCCTGCACTGATTCCACTGATTTTCTTCTCTAACTGCTGATGGAGCTGCAGGGTAGATATCAGAGAGGAAGCAGTTTCTGTTATAGAGGGTCAAGTGCGGAGGTTCAGGGCGCTGCGTGTTTTGGTGTGTTTGTGCCCGAGGCATCTGGGATATAAAAGTCTTGCTGACACAAATGTCATCCAGTGACTGGACAACACAGTCGGGTCTCACCCTTTAATAAACACACTGGGTCGCAGACGCATTAACCTCCGCTCACTGCTCATCATTCCCCCCACAGAGAACACGCTGTAGGAACCTCATTCACTCCTTCAGAAAACAATGAGGCAGATTTAATCATTCTCCTTTAAAACGATGCTAATGCATGTGAGTAAAAGTACATGCCTGTCCACATTTGCATGTACACGTATACGTTCATTAATTCCTCAACACAGCGCGTGACTTGCTGATGGTGATGAATTACCATATGGAGTTCTCCTGTAATTCTCAGCAATTAAGGTGACCTTTCATTTTTAATTGTGAGCTACGGGAGGACGAGATAAGATGGCTTCAGGGAAAATGTAGGGTGATGTGTGGGGGATCTCACCGGAAACAAATAACAAAGTCGAATCTATTTGCAGCACATGCTCGAGAAAAGAGTTGCATTATTAGCAGGAGACTGATCACAAGGGAAGAACCGCAAACAGCCAATGATGTGAAGATATTCATACTCATTAGTGCTACAGGAGAGAAGAGCTGGTTCTCTGTATGTTACTAATTTAGGCTTTAATCTGGGTTTAGCTGGAAAATTGCTGAACTGTTGAGATTGTTTGTGGCCAGAGACTGAAAAGGGGAGCTGCAGCAATGGACAGTCTGAGGAAAGTTTCCTGAACTGTAGATGCACACAAACGTTTCCAAGTAATTTTGAATTTATGAATCTCAATACGGGCAGAGTATGTCTCCTTTAAATCGCTTGTCTTGGACGAGCTGCAGCGGTGTAAGGAGATGTTTGACTTTGGGACTTTCTGCCAGAAGACATTACTGGAGAAAGGTTCTCTACCATTTACGCAGCAAAACTACTTAGTTGTGTTAAGGGGGAAAAACATGGTTTGGGTTTAAATTTCCCATTCAGCTGCACGTTGGAACAAACTTATCCCACATGCAGCTGGAGCAGGGCCAGGCTCCTCTGACCCGTGGTGAGCCAGCAGTCCTTACAGGTGGATGGATGCACAGATTGCATAGATCAGTGGTTAGCAGCAGGTCCAGGGTCAGGGATGACATTCAGCCAGACACTAATGAGTAGCTCTCTGCAGTCCCCTCTCCCCCCTCCTTCATCTCTGCTGCGCTCTATCTTTAAGTTTCCTGCATTTCCCCCCCCTCTACTCCTCCACGCTTTTTCAATTCACTGGGGGGATGATTGACATTCAGTGTGCTGGCTGGCGTAGTGATCATGTTATGCGACACTTGAATCCAGAAATAGGGGTTAGCCTTATTACTGGGAAATGAACAGCTCTCTAACGTCTCTCTCTCTCCCTCCCATTTGCTCAGATCGACAAGATTATGAGCTCTATCGGGGCGGGGATAGGGAGCGGATTGGACATCAAGGAGGACATCTCAGGTAAAACACGCACAAATATGTCCGTGAGGGTGTGAGTGAATCTGAATGAAATCGTTATGATGCCATCACTTAAGTAATTTGTGAAATGTGAGAATGCTGTGACATCTCAACAACAAAATCTGACGGGCCAAGAAACACAACTGTCCAAAGTGTAGTCAGGATATCTGTACTGCTCTGTTGAAAATAAAACCACCTGAACATCCCTGCACACATACCTTTGGCAAAAATCAAGCTCTGATTAATTTTTAATGTCACACAATAAGTTTATATGTATTCAAATCCCCCACACAGAGTTGTGGTGGTTGGAGGCAGTTGCCTGGTGCACAGCTTTACCTTTGTTTGTTACTTTACAGTCGACAGTGTTGAACCCAAAATGTTACTTTGCTGATGCTTAGGTGTCGTGATAGTCGACGCAGGACGGCTTCGCTCGCTAGCGTCCTCCGTTTTCAGATTACTGGCTTACTCTACAGATAGGTCAAGAGGGCATGCAATAGGTCAAGCTGACAGTGAGCGCCCTCTGCTGGATCACGAGGCAAACCATGTCAGACAGTCTGATTCACTTCAAGACTGATTTTGAACGAACCGGTAGTCACAGCTCGAATATGAACTTTAACCTCCACATTTGAACGAGTGTTTGAATTTCAAAAAGAAAGTGAAAGTCAGCGTCAATGTTGTTTCAATAGCTGATGCACTCGTGCCCATCCCCCCATTATAGCCGTGATGCTGCCCTGAAGCAGGAGAAAGTGATTCTGTGATTGACCAACAGAAACCTGGTCTGAAGTCAGGATGAGGGTGTAACTGTTATTTCAAGGGTAAAGTCAGATGCACAACCTGTTTACACTCTGCTGGTTACACACACGAGAACAGATTCAGGCAGAGTCAGTGGGTGTGACGCTCGGATGAAGTGATGGTATTAAAACCATCGTCTTGTTGTTGACTTGTGCAAAAAGCTTCTTTTATATCACTGAAAAAATAAGATGTTAATTGTAAAAATCAGGTTTTATCTTCGTTCTGTGTGTGTGTGTGTGTGTGTGAGAGAGAGAGATATTCTGTGACCATCTTGTGTTCATCGTGTCGCTGTTTATGCCACGCTCCTCACCTGCGCACATCCAATGCTCCTCCACTCATCTCTGTTTACTGCGCTCATCCCCCTCTCCCTGCGTTAACTCCCCCATCCTCCACCACCCGATCCCCTCCCCTCCACCTCCTCTCTCTCTTTTCATCTGTGAATGCAAAGCTGCTTCTAACCATGGTTACCACTGGGAAAAATCCTGTTTGTGCCAAACCAGCTCCAACCCTCCCAAACACCAACACACACAGGCAAACGTGTACATGTAGACACATGTAGACTGCATACATACATACACTCAGCGTGGTGTGTGTGTGCATGTGTGGGAGGGAGGGAGGCTTCTCGCAGACAAAGAAGCTCGAGCTGTTGTGAAGCTGGAGAGAGCCAGATATATGTAGAGCGGCAGCGAGCGCAGGGTGATGATCGCAACCCTCAGAGAAGATAGAGACAGGAGGTAGACAGAGGAAAGTGAGCGAGAGAGGGAGCGAGAAAGGGAGTGAGGAGGGAACAAGGGAGGAAAGCAGTGCTCAGAGAAGAGAGAGAGAAAGAGAGAGAGGAGGCTGCAGGAGCATACAGATGAGAGTGGGAGTACTTGATAAAGAGAAATCCACAGCACAGGCAGCTCTCGCTCTTTTTCTCTCTCTCTCTTACACACACACACACACACACACACACACGCTCTCACACACACACTCGATCAAGGAATCAGCCAAGCGAGCGCAACAGCTGAAAAAGAAAAGCGGCTGCTGTGCGCGACACACGCACAGTCAGGCTTTTGCTTGCGGATCTGTAACTCCAGTCTTATCCAACACCCATCTCCGGCAGGATTTTACCCCCAGGACCGAAGCTCTTTTTCTGGATACAACTTCACCCTCCACCCCCTACTCATCCTCCCTCTGGCTGGATTCAGAGAAAGCAGCAACTGGAAGCCTGAACCCACCTGCACCCTTGCATGCTGACCCCCTCCACCCACACCATGCCTCTAGCCTAGCACCCCATACCTTCCTCTTCCTCCTTTCTTCACCTCCCCCCCTTCTACCTGCATCCCCCTTTTACTCTCCTCCTCCTGCTGCCTTGCCAAAAGACTCCTCAAAAGCATGGCGGGCTCCTTCGACAGCCACTTTGCCCGCCATAATATGATGTGGCAGTGCCAGCTCTCGCAGCCGGACTGCCGCTGCTACCGCGTGGATGGCTACTCCCTTCTGAAACGTTTGCCCCTCCACCCCCTCATAGGTCCCCGCTGCCCGATGCAGTCTGTGGGTCAGTGGCTCGACTCCATCGGCCTGGTCCAGTACGAGAACCACCTGCTGGCCAACGGATTTGACAACGTCCAGTTTATGGTGAGTGTTTGCACAGTTGTGTTTTTGGGGGAATTAAGTGGTTTGATCCTCGATTTCTCTTCCCTTCTTGTTGTGATTTAACTCCGGCTTTAGATTCAATCCCCAATCTCTTGGTTCGTCCAACCCCCATCTACGCTTTCTCTGCTCCCATCGGTGCAACTCCTCATCTCTCATAATTGTCTTTGCAGTGATTAGCAAGGCTAGTTTTTCTCTTTCACTCTGATCTCTCTCATTTTTTGGCTTTCTTCCTTTTCTCTCTCATTCTTCCTTTGCCTCTCCCCACTGATGCCATGTGAGGTCCTCCTACGCACAGAAATCCTACGCCACATCTCTGCCACAGCTAGAATCTCAACTCCAGCATCAAGCTGCAACCCAGCATGCTCATTCTGCAACGAAAAATCGTGTCGCAGACCGTGATTGTCATTGTTTTTTGCACACGTTTACTAATTTACATGCACACACATAGAAATAGTAGATACGACCACCTGTAGCCTGTGGATCAGGATGCAACCTGTCATATCCGATGACGTGTTTGTCTCCAGTGGCGTTTGAGGAGAAACTTTCTCGGTCATTTTGCTTTCTGATGTGTGTGTGCATGTGTTTCTAAGAGACATCCACAGGAGGAGAGGTTGCATGAGTGAAAACATATCGCATGAGGAGGAAGTGGGAAAGTGAAGGAGATGCAGTGAAGCCAAACAGAGAGAAACTGCACCAAATGCAGAAAATTGGGTGACAAGCGAAGAGACGCTGACTGGATGAGTTTATCAGATTCTTACTATTTGGGGGAAGAAACCTCATATCTCCAAGAGAGCAAAATCAGTTTGAGGTTTATCTTTATGATTTAGGAGCAATGCATCAATGGCATCATAGTATTTTACTAACTAGTAGAGAAAAATGTAGTTTCTCAATACAATACAGTATTTAACAATGTCGTACTGAGATATTAATGTTCCTCGTGCTTTATTTTTGCACAAACCTGACGTCATCACATCCAGAAGAGAAGTGAGAAAACAGTTAAACGTTCTCTTCTGATATGACGACAGCTAACAGCCTATGTAGGCATTTGAAAAAGAAAAATGATGTAGGTGGGTGTGTGTCCACTCTTCCACTCACTGTGACCTGCATCTTTTTCTTTGGTTACCCTGGCAACAGGAGGAAATCAAAGAATCTCTCTGGTTCTGTCTTTTTGCGTCTCAGTAATTAGTCACAAGCATCTGTAAGAATTTAATGAGATTTAAATGACTCTGAAGCTGATTTAAAGTTGTGGCTTGTATTTATGAGCGAGGTCACTCATTTAAAAATCTCACATCTCTGCGGTGGCTAATTATCTTTATCTTTATACAGAGAAAACATTTCATAAAGTTGCAACATAGACAGGACACAGCTATTTACCAATACAACAAATCAATTTGTTAAGAGTATTATGTTCTGTTATTATCTGTAAATCCTTAGAGGGAGTATGAAAATGCCTTCAGCGTGAATATTTAACCATTTCTGTCGAGATTTTGCATGAGTTGCTCTCCAGGATGTGAAATACAATTCAGTGGTAGAATGCAGATCATTGGGAATAAAATTATTTGCCTGCAAGATAAGGTTGCAATAGGGAATCACACTTTTGCTCCACATAAACATTTCCAACAAATTCATTAGTGTTCCACTTGAACCTCCCGTTTGGTGTCATAATTGATTACCTTTTCACTTTAGGACACAAAACACAACATTTAGAGAAGAAGAGAGAAGTGAGACAGAACCAGCAGCAACACTGCAGAACGTGAAACCAAAAGGATGAGCTGAACGAGCTAAAGCACTCCTTAGAACTGAGAGAAAGTAAAGTACAGGAATAAAAAAGTGGAATTGAAATCTAAACGTAGAGTCGACTGGGTTTGAAATATATTTCCAAAATGAAAATTGAGCCAATGTTAGTTCTGATAAAAAGAATAATGGCATAGACTCAAATAATTAGATTGATTATCAGCAAACATAACTAAGGTAGCATTTAAAATGACTCTCAAACATTGTTAGGGTATAACTGTACTCTCAGTATAATGTTTTGTGGATTAGCTGCTCATGGAAGACGTCAACCCACAGGTTGATGAAACACAGTCATTTCATTCAGTTCTAATATTATAAGACACATGTTCAGTTCACAGGATGTGTCATTTATACACATATATATATATATATATATTTATATATATTTATCGTTTGATTGTTAAACATCAGGAATTCACAACGTTGCCAAACCCAGCTCACCTCATGATGTCACAACTGCCTCCCATTCGAAGTGAATTCTGATTTAAGTCAAATTAATATTTTTGCTATCAGCTGAGATCACTTCTCCCACATGTTGGCTGCCTCAGTTTAAAATGTAAAAATCATCAGAAAGAACTCTGTCAGTTCGTAATGTTCCAAAGAGAACTGGTATCATTACGCCCCCTCCCTCTTCCTCTGGCAGACGCTTACACACACACGCTCCTGCCTTCACATCAGTGTGCCAACGTTGTTTACTCTCATTTTCACCTAGTTTATCGTTACGTTTCTGGCGATATTTCTGAGGGACTCAAGGATTCTCTGTTTTCCTGGCTTCACGTTTCTCCTCTGAAAATGTTTCTCAACAGCTCACGAAATTCCTTTAGATGCATTTAACAAGAAAAGGATCCGAGATGACGCTGCCTTGCAAACATCATGGACTTTAAAGTTGTTTCTTGAGTTAGCCTCTCTCTGCGTCTCTTTGAGTTTTCAGTTTTTCTGGTGTCCCACTTCATGAGAGGGGATTTACCCTCATTTTGCTGTTCGTGACTAAACTGAACACGGCTAATATTTTCCAACCTTGGGAAAACCCGGCTACCGCGAACTGAAATTAAAGCAGTTGAAGCCCAGCCCTCAGGGATTACACTGATATTGGTTGCACTTCTTTTTATTATTGACTGTGGATCCTTCAAGGAGAGGAGTGGGTCAAATTCATTTCAGCAGCACCTCCATATGAGGAATCGAGTTAAAATGCAAAACTCACACTATTTCTTTTTCTTTTCTTTTCGAGACAGCTCAAGTTCATCTGTACGACTGATTGGCTTGCAAATGAATTTGACCTCAATTCTGATCCGCATCAGATTCGAGGTCAGCAAATAGGCGCCATGCAGTGTGCAGGAATCTGCGCAGACAAGCGCACATGCACATAAACATCCACCATTACCATTTAGCACTAATGGGGGTCATTGGAGTGGGTGTGTCTCGGCACCTTAACCAGCCAGTAGAGGACAAGTAGCGCTAGATTGATGGACAAGTGGGAAGGGGGTGGAGTGGTTATTATGGAGGCAGCGTTTAATATGAAGGACACTGGATGGAGACGAACCACACTCATTCTACATACATGAATCTGTGAGTGAGGAAAGAAAACTGTGGAGCTGAACAATTAAAGCCAATTCATTTTGATTGTTTAAAGTGTGTGTTCGGTGTGTTTGCATTAAAAACCAGATGAAATAAAACTCCTGGAAACAAGGTTTACAATGATTAAATCAGAGAAAGGAAATCCTGAGATCACAAGTTCACACATGTTCACACAACAACTCAACCGTGGAGTATTTGTCGGACTAGTCTGCAGCACATTCTCCTCGCTCAGTTATATCTTCCCTGCTAACACTCGTTATTACAATCAAACATTCACACTAAACATGGCACACAGGAATAAATAATCAGTTACGTGACCAGACTGTCGGAGTGAGAGGAGAAGGATGGAAGGAGGCTGATAATGGACATGACAAGATTATGTGTGATTTGTTGACCCAGCTCATTTGAAAGAAACTCTCATTAGAGGAAACAGGCAAACAAACAAATAGTGTGAGAGAATTTAATGCAAAAAGCTCTTTTTAGGATTGTATGTAGAAATCTGAAATGAATGGAGGTGCTGTATCAGATGGTACAAGTGAAGAGTTAACGTTTGATATCATGCAGAGGGAATCGATAAGAACGGCTGCAAGGGGAAGTGAAATTGCTCTTACGTAACCGTTCTCCAAGGGATGCAATGAAAAATACAAAAAAAAGAAATTAATCTCAGTATTCCCCTCTAATCCTCTTCAAAAAGGAATTTATTACAAAATAAGCAAAACGACAAGAACGATGCATCTAAAACCTTTAAGAAACCAAAATCTATTGAGAGATGTTCTGCAAAGTAAATAATAAAGAGGCAACAATATGATGAGAAGAGGGCAGTCTCTTTGAGAGCAGACCAATGGAAGTCTGGAACGCAAAGGGATGAACACGAGCAGGAAGGGAACAGAGCAGATACAATAGGCAGAGCATAATTTGTAGTTTCCGTCTGAGCCTGTTGGTTCTGATAAAGGCCTCGACCGCCGCCACTGAATAACAATTTTTGCCATATCTCTAGTTTCGTCTCAGCCCCCTGCAGCTGTACATGAATTCTAATTTCTGAATGTTTGTGACCCACTGCGGCGCCGTCATTAAGCAGTGCAGTCAAAGTATCACAAGCAAAACCACAGGCCGCGGCAGTTGTATCAACAATAAGGAGGATGCTAAACACCTTCCGCCGCAAGGAAAAAGGATTGTTAGTGTTCACACAGGTGATGCATACCAAGTGTTCAGCAGTGTATCTTGCATAAGCATCTTAAAACAAACTGTGTACTTCAAGAAAAGGTATAATGCCCCTCAGCAGCGTGTGCACCTCCACTGAGGCCCAGCAGCCTCCTTAAACTCTGCACCTAATCTTTCAAGTTCATGTGGACATAGTTCTAAAACATAAACTGTTGATTCTCTGAATGCATTTCGACTCTGTGTCAGTTTGAATCTCAGTCCATAGTAACGCCCCTGAAAATGGAAATCAGATCGCTCGAAAAAACAGCTTGTCACCTACGCATGTAAGAAGTTAAATCACTGTAAAAATACACAATTTCCAAACATGTCGGTTTCTGCTTGTCTTCTGGCTGCGTTTCCAAAGTTCGTCATCTCAGCGGCTCTAAATCCACGGAGGATTGTGCACGCCACATGTATGTTAGCAGAGTCGATGAGCTTTCAAACAGAAACGTAGTGTGGATGTAGCATGAGAAGCAGCTTCTACTGTATCATCAGTTAAATCAGAGAGAAGAGCAGTGAAGACTTTTCTTATCAAGACGCTCTTCTCCTGATCGGCTTTGACAGACGATGGTTCATCCGATCACCTGTATCAAGGATTATTTTGAGAGCATCTGACTTTTTCCAAACATGGTTCTGAGTAACAAACCATCTGGGAAGAATTCATCGGAAGCTGTTCAGGTTAAAAGATTTATATCGGGATTTTCTTTTCCTTAAATATCTTTACTCTGCTTTTCCAAATGAAGATTTCACATCTGTTTATTAATCCACGTGTATGGATTTTTAACAAATGGTTTATTAATCCATGTTCTCAGTTTATTAATCCATGTTCTCAGTTTATTAATCCATGTTCTCAGTTTATAAATTCATGTTCTCAGTTTATAAATCCATGTTCTCAGTTTATAAATCCATATAACCCCTCCAGCAGGTCGTCTCCACATCACCTTGTTGTTTAGCAAAGTTTAAGATGTAAACACACTTTGAAAACAAAAAGCTGTTTAAACCTGAGAGATGCTGAAGGAGGATTGTTAGTAAAACACGTCTCCGGGGCTCCGCTCGTCCATCCCTGCAGCTGATTGGACACTTCCTATTCCTTAAATTATTCGTACCCAGTTTTTCTCCCCGCCCTTTACGCCGGGGCCTCCGTGAGCAGAGCGTGGTTCATAGAGCAGCTCCCAGACTGATTAATAGAGCGCAGGGCAGAGCCGACGTCGGGAGTTCCCGTGCTACGACTTCACGGCAGAGTAATGACTCACAGATTCAGTAGTAGAGTAGATTGTCGGGAGGACTCGTCACCCTGTTGGGCTCCTCATAGAACAGGATGGAGTTCCTTAATGTTTGTTCTCTCTCTAAACCTATTTTTCACAGAATGTTTGCCCCGTATCTGCCATTTCCAAGTGCACACCACGGATCTTTGGATAAATACCACATGGATCAAGACTTGACAATGAGAGAGTAAAAATAACCAACATTTCTGCAAAGGAGGTTCTTTTTTACCGCTATCTGTTTTTTATCAGTTTGTTTCATTTGTGTGTTTGTTTTTTATGTTGTTAGTTTGTTTGTTGGTTTGTTTCTTTGTGTGTTAGTTGGTTGGTTCGTTGCTCGCTTGGTTTGCTTATTAGTTGATTGGTTAGTTCGTTATTTTGTTGGTTTGTTTGTTAGTTGATTTCCTCAAACTTGAAGAACAATGGGGCAAGAAAGAAACCATTAAATGTAGGTCAGAGAAACTTAATCTCATAGATGAATTAGAAAATACAAGAGAACTATAGTATTCAGTTTGTAGCGGCTGTTGACAAAGATCTCAAAAGTAAATCCATGCAGTCGACCTGAATGTTGTTTGGGTTTTCTGGTGTGAACGATGAACAACAGCTACCGTGTCTCCTATCTGGATTAACGTGTCACAGCCTTGGAGCAAAATCTCTTTTTCTGAGGCCACAGCGATCCGGAGCGTCGACCTCTGGACAGAATTGAAATAATGGGAGGGGGAGGGAAAGGAGGAATCAGGAGATAACTGGTATCTACCTGCTTTCTTTTTCCTCGTCTATTGGATTTTTATCACTGTTATTAGTTTGACAGGGAGGAGACGTAAAGGGGCTGACAGGTTTAATCCTTTTGTGCGAGCCTCCAGGCTGGTCACGCTGTCCTCTTTCCTCTGACAGAATTTATTTACCACCGTCATTTGGGCGATAACCTCAGGTTTACCTTTCTCTTCTGCCACAATTTATATTTTGAATGTTTTTTCTGGCTGAGTTAGCCTTTCTCTGTCCTGCAGCTCTACCTGCATTCCTTCCTTTGCTTTAATGATCTGTCTGAATGAAGACTCCTCTCTGTCTCTCTGGAGGGAGGATGACTGATAGGTCTCTTAAAGTTTCCCATCGGATTAATTAAAGGTGAATCCTGCACGATGCCCTTACAGGCTTCAGTGTCTATGCTGCTGTTCTTTTTTCAGTCATGTTCTCTGTGATATTGCAGCTGTTTTTATTTCCTCATTGTTAGATGAAATTAAAAATTTAAATTTTCACTGGCGCCCGTATTCCCTGTAGCAGCAGGTTTCATCAGTTATCATCAGTACGTGCATCCACATCAATAAATCTGCACGATGTTATCTCATCCCTAAATCTTCTTTAGCTCTGGATTTTGGTGTTTCGACAACATAAAGACTTTTCTGGTGTGTCGAGGATTCGTGAACAAGATAGTGGCGTGGAATATTTTGAACTTTGACTATTACATTTCCTCACTCTCATTTCCAAATAAAATCCACCAAAAGCCTGGAGGGGTTTTTTTAGGATCATACAAATGAAGCATTCCACTATTTGAATGCTACAGTGAAGGTGTGCTTAATTAATATGAGACCACACCAGTGGCTTTGCCTGTTTTACCATATTTACTAGTGACATCTGTTACATCACACATAACTTGTTAAAGAAATTGACTCCACATTGAGGTGTTTCAATGTGTTTTTCCACTTTTCCTTCAGCAGAGTGTTTGTATTCATTTCTTTATTTTATAAAAACCAATGAGGGACAGTTGGAAAACTCACAGTTAAGTATTAATTCAAAAAATGATGAGCTGCCAAGTCAGTATTAAAGTTATTTTGAATAAAGAAGCTGCTGATAACACAAACCTTTATCAGGAAGAAAAACCCAAACGTCAGCCGATACTGAGTTTTTTTATTTTAAGTGTTAACCACGGTTTTTGTTTTTGCTTTGCAGGGCAGCAATGTGGTGGAGGACCAGGACCTGCTGGAGATTGGGATCCTCAACTCAGCCCACAGACAACGTCTCCTGCAGGCCATCCGGCTGCTGCCCCGGGTCAGTACAGCAGAAACTCACGCAGCCCCAACAAGAACAACTCAGACAGCTCACGCAGAACATGAAGCGCCACAGAGTTTTCCAGTCTGGGTTTATTGTTGTCTCCGTGTTTTTCAAGTTACAAAAATTAACTATCCAAGATGATCCATTTCGAAAAAGAGCACATCTTCAATTTCTAGCTTCAACTAACTGTACAAAGATTTTCTTTACTAACCATATTTCTGTGTAGTTTAACTGCGTCTGACTCTGAGTACTTGAACAATGCACTACTCTACATCATAGCCTCTAGCGCTGCAGCCAGAGAATTCATTAAAACCAAAAGATTTGAACAGATCACTCTGTTTTCTTCTTTTCACTTGCTCCCAGTGAAACATTGACCTTAAGATACTTTTGGCTGGTTTTA